GACAAAGCAGGTGAATAAGCAAATGTGGTGAAGAAAGCTGATGGTGCCTGGCTATCAAAAGATATAGTGTCTGGAGTCTTAAAGGCTTGAAGGTAAACAAGCGGCCATTTAGCTCAGAAGCAACAAAGCCCACATGGAAGAACACACCAGCCTGTGTGATCACGAGGTGCCAAAGGGGTCAGGTATCAGGCATCAAAGAACAAAAAATCTTACCGTAGTGAATGGTGGGGGGAGTGCAGAGTGGAGACCAAAGCCCATTCGTAGGCCACTGGAGATCCCCTTGCAGAGGGGTTTCAGGGAGGAGACGAGCCAGTCGGGGCGATGCAGCAACGATGAAACATACAACTTTCCTCTAGTTCCTAAATGCTTCCTCCCCCCACACTATCATAATCCGAGTTCTACCTTGCAAGTCTGGCAGACCAGAGGATGTACACTGGCACAGATAGGAACTGGAAACTCAGGGAATCCAGTGCAGATGATCCCTTCAGGACCAGTGGTGTGAGTGGCGATACTGGGAGTGTAGAGGGAGGGTGGATTGGAAAGGGGGAACTGATTACAAGGATCTACATGTGACCTCCTGCCTGGGGGACGGACAACAGAAAAGGGGGTGAAGGGCGACGTCGGACAGGGCTAGATATGACAGAATAATTTGTAAATTATCAAGGGTTCATGAGGGAGGGGGCAGCGGGGAGGGGGGATGAATGAGCTGATGTCAGGAGCTTAAGTGGAGAGCAAATGGTTTGAGAATGACGAGGGCAATGAATGTACAAATGGGCTTTACACAATTGTATGTATGTATGTATTGTGATAAGAGTTGTATGAGTCCCTAATAAAACGATTAAAATTTTTTTTAAAAAAAGAGTTCATGACACATGGAATCCAGGTCAGATAAAACCCTCAGGAACAGAAATGGGAGTAGCAATATCAGGAGGGTAGGGGAAATTGGGGGAGGATGGGGGGACCGATCGAAGTGATCAATGCATAACCACCACCCCCCACCCAGGGGGACAAACAACAGAAACATAGGTGAAGGGAGACATCGGTTGGTGTAAGATATGAAAACAATAATTTATCAAAGGGTCATGGGTATGGGGGGGAGATAGGGAAAAAAGATGCTGATATCAAGGACTCAAATAAAAAAGAAATGTTTAGAATATAATGATGGCAACAATATGTACAAATATGCTTGATACAATTGATGTATGGAATGTTGTAAGAGCCCCCAATAAAATGATTTTTTTTTAAGTTTACAGAGCAGATGCTCCGTTTTACATTCAGTTCACACACATTTGCTTCAACGCATCCATTGCAGTCCCCTCAATCTACCAGCACATGCCCCACTCCTTGTGTTTCCTGTGTCCATCCCTCCTTTCCTAACCCTCTGTATGAGGAAATAACTGCCCCAAACCACCATCACCACCAAAAAAAAAAAAAAAATGGAATTTTTTTCAAACCTATGTATTTACCGTAACTATTTTTACAAGGCAATCTTATCACGTATCACCTTCAAAGTATGTCCATTACACTTAATACATATGCCAAACTGCTATTCTATTCTTGGAAACATTTTTCAAACTCATCTTTTTGGATAGCTGACAGCACCTCGCTCGTTTTTTTCTTCACCTCTTCTACATTGTCAAATCGCTGTCCTTTTATGTCCCTCTTCATTCACAGAAACAAAAAGAGGTCACACGGAGCAGGTCAGGTGAGTCATGGTGACAAAACCACTCCCCCGTCTGCCACAATCAGGCCTTTTTTGTTACATACTGTTAGGCAGTCTTTCCAGAAGACTAAATAGAAATAGAAAGACTAAATAGAAAACTTGATTAGCAGTCTGGCCTTGTGGAACAAGCTTCATATGCACTGTGAGTTGACATTTTCGTCCATTTGAGAAATGACAGACGTCAGAATGAGTTTTGTCATCAATCGACATTTCACCATTTTTGAAAAAAGAAAACCGCTGTACACTTGGGTTTTCCCATAGCCCTGTACATGTAAGCTGTGTTCAGCATCACAACTGTTTCTGCAGCATTTTTCCCAAGCAGGAAACAAAATTTCACAGCAGCATGCTATTCTCTTAAATCGACCATCATAAAAGTGAGGTTTGAGTGAAATTGCTTTTATGACAAAATTCACTGTGACCAGAGAGAATCTTCACAGGTGTCACCACTGGCTGCACTAACTCAGAGCAAGTTGCTCAATACCCGCCTAATGGGAAAAGATGTGTACTATGAAAGCTCCTCTTTGTCCAGCACAATTCTGGGTTTGGGGGGGTACCCCCCTCTTACTTTGTACTTAGATCAATGTTGCCCTTTTGATCTTAAATAGTTGATTGGTCTAACATGGGGTGAAATCAGTTCCAGACTGTGGGAAGCAAAACCAGGAAGAGAAAGTATGCGGACAAACTCAACATTCATACGTTAAGGAGTCTGGGAGGCCAGGGCTCCCATGGAGGTAACTTTCACATCCATGGGGTGGAGATGCATCTCGCTCACATTCTCCTAAGTAAAAGTTATTTCCCTCAATGTCCCCCCATAATAATGCCAAATTAACATGCTGTTTGCAAACACATGGCTGCTTACTGTATTCTTGAAGGTCAACTGCTTGAAAGCTATCTGCCTGAAGGTTGTCAAAAATAATCAAACCCTATTGTCTGTCTCACCTTAAGTAGGATCCACTCCCTTCTGATAAGGATCATAGATAATTCCCCTGGAGAAGAGTTCAGCCAGCTCCGATGACCAAGGTTAGGTTGCCATCTTGACTCTAGAGCCTGCCCATCTTGTTATCGGTGTACCTTCCTGTCACATGTATACCCCTAGTACAACCCCTTCCTATTGCATGTATACCCTATTTCATGAATATCCCTATATCATCCCCCTCATGTTACGTGTATGCTTTAATACAACCCCCTCCTATTATGTATGAGTTTACCATGGCTTGCTTGCCTGAAGTCTGCGAGAGAATAAAGCACGGTCTCTACATAAGTCTGCGAGAGAATAAAGCACGGTCTAATTTTTTGCTCTGGTCTCCATAGGAAGAGGAGCCCTTGCATGCTTTATCTTGTCTGATGTCTCTTTACCCCTCAATTACACAAGTGCCCCTTGAACCCATTCAGTTGTGGAAAGGTTGGTCCCCCACACCAGACCAGAGAGGTAACCAAGGGCCATAGTATGCTTGGTCTCTTTCATGAATTTGACTTTGTTCTACATTTTTCTCTCATTCCATCTATGGCCCTCTAATGTGTAGGTACTGTTTAGTCATTTCCAACTCAGCGACCTTATAATCAACAGGGTATTGATCTGGGTAGACTAGAGAAACAATCCAGGGAGACTCAAATGTGTGTAAGGGAGAACTTTATATCAAAGAGCAATTTTATATTAAGAAAACATCCCAACCCAATCCAGAGCAAGTCCATAAGTCGGATATTAGTCCACATATCCAACGCTAGTCCATAAATTGCTCTTTAGATTCGTGCAGGACATGCAATGATGCCGAAGGCAGGAAGATCACAGGCCAGTGGGTAGGTCTTGTGGGCCCAGTGACAGTGGGAAACATCTCAAAGCTGTCACGGATCCCCACAGGTCTCCTCCAGCTTTCTGAGTGTCTCAACAGCAGGAAAGGGAAGGCAGAGATCGTGTTTGTCCTGCCTCCAAGGAGGAAGATGGGAGTTCCCAGAATCTTCAGGAGAAGGCCATGCCCACGCAGAGGCATTATTGACTATGACCTGATTGACAGGCTAGACTCACCCCTCCGCTCAAGTTATCGGGAGATTATGTAACTACCACAAACAGAGTAAAACTTTCCATGGTCCTGCACCATCCTTAAAATTGCGTAAAGGACAAGCCAGTCAGGGTGCAGTGTAGCATCGATGAAACATACAACTTTCCTCTAGTTCTTGAGTGCTTCCTCCCCCCCACTATCATGATCCCGATTCTACCTTACAAATCTGGCTAGACCAGAGGATGTACACTGGTACAGATAGGAACTGGAAACACAGGGAATCCAGGACAGATGAACCCCTCAGGACCAGTGGTGAGAGTGGCAATACCAGGAGGGTAGAGGGAAGGTGGAGTAGAAAGGGGAAACTGATCAAAAGGATCTACATATAATCACCTCCCTGGGGGAGGCACAACAGAAAAATGGGTGAAGGGAGACATTGGAGAGTGTAAAACATGATAAAATAATAATAATTTAAAAATTATCAAGACTTAGTGAGGCATACTTACCTGCCAGGGGAGATACCGTGATCATGAAAGTGGTTTTCCCAGGGCAAGGCTTATCCAGCGCTCTACGGATGTGCTGACCCCTGCAATTTCCCCAAATGTGGGAAACTCAACTGCATAATTTGTGGTCGTGGGGGGCTGCGTTCGCGCTCTCCCCTGTCCAAAAAAAAAAAGATAAGAAAAAGAAAAAGACTTAGTGAGGGAGTGGACAGGAAGGGGGGAAATGAGGAGCTGATACCAAGGGCTCAAGCAGAAAGCAAATGTTTTGAGAATGATGAGGGCAACAAATGTACAAATGGGCTTGACACACAATGGATGGATGGTTGGATGGATTGTGATAAGAGTTGTACGAGCCCCCAGTAAAATGATTTATTAAAAAAAAATGCTGTTAGGTTTGAACCCATTGCTGTAGCTGCTGTGTCAATACATCTCATCAAGGGGCTTCCTTTTTATCTCTGACCCCTACTTTACCAATTCCCCTTTCCAGGGACTTGTCTCTCCTGATCACATGTCGAACATATCTGAGATGAAAGCTCGCCATCCTCACATCTGAGCATTCTGAGCATACATGTTTTAAAACCGATTGGTTCGTTTTTCTGGCAGTCCGTAGGACTTTCAATAATCTTTCACCAATGCCATAATCCAAATGCATCCATTTTCTTGAGATCTTCCCTATTCAATGTGCGACTTCCACATGCATGTGAGATGATTGGAAATGTCACGGCTTAGCTCAGGTACACATTGGTCCTCAAATAGGTCTTGTGCAGGATATTTGCCCAATCCAACATATCATTTGATTTCTTCACTGTTGCTTCCATGAGCATTGATTGTGGAGCTTGGTAAAATGAAATCCTGGACAACGTCAGTCCTTTCAGCGTTTCTCATGATACTGTTCATTGGTTCTTGGTTGTCTTTACGTTAAGTTGCAATCCATACTGAAGGCTATTGTCTTCGATCTTCATCAGGAAGTGCTTCAAGCCTTCTTCTCTTTCTGCAACCAAGGTTGTGTCATCTGCATACCAAATATTGTCAATAAGCCTTCCTCCAATCCTGGTACCACGTTCTTCCTCATATAGCCAAGTTCTTGGGTTATTTGCTTAGCATACAGATTGAATAAGAATGATGAAAGAGATACAGCCTTAAGACATACCTTTCCTGCTTTTAAACCATCAGACTCTCCTTGTTCTGTTTCAATTGCAAGAAATTTGTGCTCTTGAACTATGTACAGATTCTATATGAGCACCATTAAGTGTTCTGGAATATCCATTCTTCAAAATGTTATCGATAGTCTGTTAAGCTCTGCATAGTTGAATACCTTTGCATATCCCATCAAACACAAGTAAGCATCTTCTGGTATTCTCTGCTTCCAATGAACATTCACTTGATGTCAGCAGCGATAGCCTTCTTTCCACATCCTCTTCTGAATTGGCTTGAATTTCTGGTAGCACCCTGTCAATATACTGCTGCAATCATTTTTAAATTATCTGCAACTAGATTTTACTTGTATGTGATATCAATGATATTATTCAATAATTTGCATCCTGATGGGTCACTTTTTTTTTTGTTGAAAAAGCATAAATATGGGTCTCTTCTAGTTGTCTGGCCAAATTTTTTGACAAAGACTTGTGGCATAACATCAGTTCCTGGAGCCTATGGAATTTCCCCACAAACTTTTTGAAGCATGTGTGTGTGTGTGTGTGTGTGTGTGTGTGTGTGTGTGTCCCCACCTAAGGTCCCTTGTAGTGGCCCCACTCTCTAATTTTAGTTATTTGTGTCATATCCCATTTTTCCTTTGCAAATTAACTGCAGATGTGTTATTTTTATTGACCTTTACAAAGAAGCATTCCTCTGGATTGTGTTATTCCAGGCAGAATAAATCACCTGATGTTCTTATTCAGAATGGCCAATATCAGCCCATTTGAGATCACAAATGCCTAGGATATTGATCTTTGCGCATTGCATTGCATTTCTTATGACTTCCAATTTTCCTAGACTCATATTTCACACATCCTAAGTTCTCAGAATGAGCAGATTTTTGCAGCTGTTTCTCCTTACCTTGAAGGGTACCCCATCAGGAAATGAAGACCCTGAAACCTCCACTCTCACACGTTTTACCAGACTCATATCAACATGGTCGACTTGTTCCTCGTCGGTCACATTTTGATTGCCCTCTGACCCCAGGGGTGCGTCCTCTGCCACTGTCTCAGACAATCTTCTGCTTCCATTCATTAGACCTGCATCATCTGGCAATGTTTCAAAGCCAAGCATAAGGTTTTCAGCAGATTCTTCCTCTGAGGTGAGCAGCCGAGTCCTTCTTCATAGTCTGTTCTTAGTCTGGAAGCTCTGCTGAAACCTGTTCTCTTTGGATGACCTTGCTGGTCGTTTGAAATACCAGTGACATAACTTCCAGTCTCACAGCGACCCACAAGCCACCGCGGTATGACAAACTGACCAACAGGTGGTGGATACACAGACATATAGAACTATACATTTCTATCTGAGAGGTGGCTTTTTCACATCCCCTAAATTTGAGCATGCTGTAGTTTTGTTGTTATTCATCTCTTAAGTATTTTCTAATTTGTTTGAGTCTTTTAAAATTTCCATTTATTTATGCTTCATTTCGTTCATTTGAAGAGAACTTTTTTCCTGGTTTTGATTTCTAGTTTCTGCTGTGATCTGGTAAGATGTGTGATAAGTATTTTTAGATTATTTGAGGTTTGTTTTGTGGTTTACCACACTGTCTATCTGAAGGGTGACTAGGGTGGGCTGTTGTTTGAGTGGGTGCCCTGTCTGTCTGTCGGTCTGTTAGGATTATATGGTGCTCAAGCCTTCTTCTATTCCTTACTGGTATTTTTATCCATATGTTCTGTCCATCATTGAAAATGGTGTATTGGTGAAGAAAGCTGATGGTGCCCGGCTATCAAAAGATATAGCGTCTGAGTTGTTTTACTTTCTGTTGTTGCCTCGTTGCACTCAGTCTGGTGATGGTACATAGCATGTCTACCTGGAAGGGATAGGTGGAATAAACAAGCCAGAAGAGAGAACAACGGGATGACAGATCAGGGGAACATGGGGGTAGGGGAGGGGGGAAGGAAGGAAGAGGGTGTTAACAAGCACAGACACAAGGGAACAACAAGTGATCCAAAATCAATGTCAAGGAGGGTGCAGGAGGCCTTGCAGGG